TCATCGGAGATGAAGACTAGGGATGATCGGGGAAGGTGCTCACGCCTGTCACCTGACAGTCTCCCTGAAGCTGAAACTCTGTGAGAACAAAGACGTGATCTGCGGTTTGGAGCAGGATGAGCATCAGCGTCAGTGACAGAGAACTGCCCTCGTTTTCTGTGTCTGACTTCACTGAACTTTCAAGGGCCAAATGAAGACATTTCAGGGCTGTGGTCCCTGTGCGGCTGGTGAACCGGTAGATGCGGCAAGTTAAATTACAGCTAGCAAATAGCTTAGCGGTACCAGCACCTGGCGAAAGTGTCAGAGGAGAGCTGCCTTCTCACGGCACACGTCAGGCTTCTGATGAAAATCCCAGATGACTGTATCATTCTGAAAAGGACTGGCACTGGATGTGGCGAGCGGAACCGGGAAGGCGACCCATTGTGCTTTTTAATTTTGTTTTTCAGAGGATCCAGCGATGCTGGCACGCGGCAAACGGCCCGAATCCCGAGTTAATGTAGTTTCCGTTATTTGGACGCCACACGGATGAAAAGCGTCGCTGATGGACCTCGGCGTGGCAAAGACGAGGCAGACTCAGTGGGAAGCCGCATGCGTTTGTAAGAACGCGCTTCAGCCTGGCATGAACGATAAACTGAGTGTGTTGCTGCTTGCCGTGTGTCTGACTCTCCCAAATATGCACGTTTCACATTTGCATTTTCTTGGGGAAATACATTTTTACAAAAAGGCTCAATTTGCTTTCTTTAATCATAGCTTATCCTGCTACTAAACTAGATTTGATTTTTCATTATCTTATTGTTGCAAAATGAGATATATAATATTTCATATGTCACAGCAATGACTGAAGGTATGTGGGTGAAACTCACTTTTGACGGCTCATAATATTGTCCTTTTTCTCGCAATGAGGACTTTCGACCAGAGACCCAGAGATAACTCACCCTTGTTTGTCTTTTTTGTGAATAACTGGCATTTTTTTTTGGGGGGGGGGGGTGTTAAATCAAAAATCATCCATCCTATACCCATTTCCCAGGGAAGAGGCATCTTTCACAGCCATGCAAGGAAATAGTAGGATTTTTATCTTAAAACTTAAACTTAACATTCAGTGAGGATGATGTTCAATGAATGTTCTTTTTCTGGTCCTTGAATAGTCTTATTAGGTTCCAATCCACAGCACCCGACCCTCAAATGTTAAGATTGTGACAATCTGGGACTCTCCCTGCCAGCCCCAGGAGGATGGGCTCCCCCTTTGAGTCTGGTTCCTCCCAAGCTTTCTTCCTTCTAGGGAGTTTTTCCTTGCCACTGGCTTGCTCTCTGTGGGCTTTGGGCAGGGATAAGGTAAAGTGCTTTGAGACAATGTAATGTTGCAAAAATGTGCTATACAAATAAAATTGAATTGAATGAGAGCCAATCCACATCCACCTAACCCTTTATGAGAGCCAATCTGCACCACCTAACCCTTTATGAGAGCCAATCCGCATCTACCTAACATTTTATGAGAGCCAATCCGCATCTACCTAACCCTTTATGAGAGCCAATCCGCACCCACCCAACTCTTTATGACAGTCAATCCACACCACCCAGCTGTAAAAATATGCACTAATCAACCATTCTAACTAAACCAGACCAGCAAACCGTCAACTTTAGCCTGCTTAGTATCCCTATCTTAAAGAGCTCACATTTTCTTATTTGATGTACATTTCAAAAAGGAAAGACACTGGTGAAACACGCATACTGTGTGTGCCTGCGTGTTCACTCGAAGGCGTAGGGCAACTCACAACCACCGGGTAATTACTTTGAAATTATATTTATTATTTTTTATGATAAATTACTGCCATTTTTGGTTTGTTTCGTTCTATACATGCTATGTACAGCACAGTATACACATTTTCAGGAGTCAAATATGCACCTTCATTTAAATAAAACCGCAGTGTTATCCTACCTGATTCAATGGCTGTGAATATCCTGCCAGCCTGGGATTGAATTTGCAGAGGGTGAATAAGAGGCAGATGAGATATGATACATAGATTTCTGTTCTTAGTGACCCATTCACTCTGCTAACACATCGACAATATGTCCTAAGTTAAGTCTTAATTCTTTTAGGCAGTTTTACAGAATTGAATTTACTCAAAATGAGGTAACAATCTGCACTCACTTTTTTGGGTAAATTTAAACTGATGGTTTTTTTCTTTTAACTGAAGTCTATGGGCCCTTGAGCAAAGCCATTAACTACCAACTGGGCAGGAAACTGCATTGGGCTCAGGCTGACAAAGACACTTGAATCATGCCTGGTACCACTTTGCACCAGGTGCTGAACAAGGGCCTTTATCTTAATTGCCATTGGGCATGTTATTTGCTAAACTTGGGTTTGCTTTTCTCATAAAAAGTGAGTGCAAATATATTGCCTTAATTAATTTGAGTATATCCTATAGGGTGGTACTGAAATTAGGTAGACTTTAGCTTAATTTATTTTTAATATAATAGTGCAAATTGAGTAAATTCTATAGATAATTTTTATTAAGCCGTCTTCAGCTTTTAGTGGCAAAAAACGTCCGTCATTTGATATGCTTTCCAATAAATCAATAACAGAGTATACACTTGAAAGTGCATTTTTCCTTCATTATTTAAGTCTATTTATCTCAAAAGATGCAGCTGAATTTAAGTTGAGAGCGCCGGCTACAATTACACCTTAGTCTACTCCTTGATGGCAAGTGTTATTTACCTCACGTGTAAGTCACTATGGACAAATGCAACTGTTAAATGTGTTAGGAAAATATTGGGACCAAACCACAGGCACCTCGGGGCTTGATGGCTGTTTTGGAAGCTTGTAGTCTTTCAGAGGAGTGACATAGCCTGACCACCGCAGTCTGCACGAGCTCTTGCCAGTCATCATTCGCATCCCCGCTTTTAGCGGCATGAAGGGGGTTATAACTATATCCCCAGGCTGTGCAGTATAACGACATCGACGTAATGGACTGACTGACCTACTTTTGGCATCAAACTACGTCTCAGTGGATCAGAACGTCAACTCGCTGCGCTGTCATCCATCCTCCAAGAAGCCGAGCAATCATGGGCTCAAAATCACCACGGAAATGGTCAGAAAGTGAATAAGCCTTTCTACTGAAATCACATTTGCAGATAATTCATAACATACGATCCTCTTTTCTTGGGAAAGAAAAGTTGAAGTATTTGATATGTCATTGTATCATCACAGAAATAATGTTTGTAATATCACTTTCCATCAGTGTAGTAGTTCAGCTACTGTATAACCTAAGGTTTGGTCCCTATATATATATATTGTGAGTACAGGGTGATACGTGTGCTTAATACTTAAAATCAAGATTCCCGTTGCTTCGGAAAATGCGATATCAGATTTGTATCTCATAATTGATGATAATTAGCCATTTGCCCAAGTCTGCCCCTTTCGGCGAATAAGCCTATGGCCTAAATTACCGCCCTCCGGTGGTGCGAGACGGGACTAGTACTGAGCGGAATCGCACACATGCTGATAAGGAAAATGTCATATAACCCATTGGTATAATAAAAGCCGCCATCATCTACCGTGTCGCAACCATACGATTTCACCGGGAGACTTTCGCTTACGCGGCAGCGGCCTTTTAATGTTCATTTGATGTAGTTAATTAGTAATGTACGCGTAAATTATTCAGTTTTATTGAAAATATATTACAGCGAAACCTCGGGGTTGTGTGATTATAATGCATTATTAATTCCGCACAGGAGCTGCGTTAAAATACGCTAAGCGTGTGCATTATTGATGATTAATCCCCGCAGCATACATAGCAATAAAATTACACTCCTGAGTGACCTTTGCAGCAATCCCCATAACTGGGACGCAGGGAAAATGAAGACATTGCTCTGGAAGGCTGCCCTTTATCGCCGGCGACGTAATTGCACAAAGCGGATAAAACCGGCACAGATGAAGAAAAACACAATAAAGGACGCATATAAGCTCTTGGTAAATCCTTATTACTGAGCAACCGGTCTGCGGCACTTCAGAAGGGATTGCACGCAAATTATGCGCCATTAAATTCAAAAAGCGGTAAATAGCACCACCTGGTGCCTATAGGGAATAACAGCGCCGCTCGGTCTCCAGCTGTTTATCTCTAACAGCATGGGCAAAATGTGCCGGAAATTGAGCAAATGTCCACCGCGACGGACGACTCGATTAAAGGGGGTGGAAATGTGAAGGCACTGGGAGAAATAAGCGACAGGAGGCACGGAGGGGCCGGAAGCTGCTGGAGCCAAAGCCATTTGCAGCGGCTGGGGAATCAAACCCCTGAGGAAATTACCCTGCTGGATAAAATTACCGGCGTGACATGTACTCGCATTAGACACTGGAGCCCATCTCTACACTTATTAAATCGATTCAATAACCTATCTATGGTGAATAAAGTCTGTATCCTCTGCTCTCAGAGCTGTTATGCCCGTTTATTATTACTAAGTGCCGGTAAACATTATAGTGAGCGTATTCCAGAACATTCTGACTGAAGTCAGAGTCATCAGCCTTCCGATAGGAGGTTCATTGTACTGTTGATTGACTCTGAGCAGGGGCGGATCGGGGGGGGATCTGGAAGTTGCCATGGCCTCCCTATTGCCACCACAGATAAAGATAAAAATGAAATATGGATTATTTTCTAAGAGAACCATAGAAGTGATGTGTCAGACACCCCCAAAAATAACTGCATCCTGATCACCATCCCAATCTAAATTTTCTGCAGCCACCACCGTGGCATTGTTCCTGACCCCGTACTCATTGTATGGCTATAATATGCAGTGAATGATCTTTAACATTATTACAGGTGTCTGACATATGGGACAAGTTGCACCCACTGTCAACTCTCCTTACCTTAGCAATAGAAACCAACCATTGAGTGGTTTTACCAGTCTGCTTAGGAACATAGACTTCTCAGTTGATTACAGCGTCGGCTATATTAGTCATTGTTTACACAACCCATCAGCAGAAAGGAAAACAGACAAGTAGGACATTATTTTCAAATTAATTTAATGTTAAAGTACAATATTAATCACCTTTAATAATTTTTCCCTAAGGCATTAGACTGTCAAATTAATTCCTACTGCACTGAACGGTAGAGCAAAGCATGGCAATCTTCACTTGAAATGCCGGATCAAGAATACATTTAAAAAAATAAATAAATAAAAAATAAAACTGGACGTTTCTGGTCATTGAGGGGTTCTGAGTATGGCCTGGGGGTGGGCAGGCTAATGCCCCTTTTTCAAGGGATATTATTTGGAGTGTTATTGGAGTGCAATGGTAGTCATAGTCACTAGTTGGTTTCCTGTGAACGGTCATTAAATCAAACTGGGCCTTTTAAGAGCAGTCCTGAGGGGCTTCTAGGTGATTTTGGTTATCGAGACGACAGCTAAAACATTCAAGGTGTGTTTTCATAGGCTAAATGGGCACAGCACCACTCGCACGGCTGTCTTTGGAAATCCTAGAGGCAAGGAGGTTTGTCTTTAGGGAGGCCTTTTCCAAACCGAGCTGGGCATGCGGCAGTTTCAGTTAGCGCCAGAAGCGCGTTAAAAATGAACCGGGGGGAGGGGGGGGGGGCGTTGTGAGCCTGAGGCAGTGAACATGTGACTCCTGCCATGAACACACAACCTTTCCTCCATACCACGGAAACCGGGCAACAGAACTCTGCACCTTGGGGACTGAGTCTGCACACAAACAAATAACAAGTTCCCTTCACTGAAAAACAGGACCAAAAACCTGAAAAACAGGCAAATAAGTTACAAAAGTAAATTCAGACTACATTCAACAAACAGAACATACAGGCTTATCATAATGCAGAATATAAGAATTCAGACCCAGAAAAGTAGCCAGATGTCATATTAGTGTGTCCTCTATAGACAAATCACACATACAACAGGTATTCCTTTAGAATAAAAAATAAACGCATAGACATTAGCATTTTTGCTCCTCTGACCTGCCCTGAATGTAACACCCTTTAATTAAAAGTGAACAAAAGGAGCACGTATGTCGCCACTCAAAAGAAGTTGGGAGTGAACGCGATGCCGATCATCAGGAGGGCAAACAAACAAGGTGCGAAATCCGAAAAGGCGTGAAACATGGTGCCTATCCCCCTAAAACGCACAAGATACTACGCTCGGCTGGTGGTTACTTACACTACTACACTGAATCCAGCAACAAGAGTGGAGACATGGAGTAAAGCGTCGCCTGGCCAGGGTCACCCGACCCAGGGGATGTCCGTTAATCTAGAAGACGGGACGGTCAGGCACGAGGCGCACGAGGACACGGGAGCAGCTCACGGACACATCACAGGCACGTCTTCGAGGGAATCGGCGCTACGGGACTGGCGGGCTGCGTCGTTACTGCATCACGCTGCAGCTACAGGACCATGAAATCAAAGGCAAGAGTTTGGGGACGGAGCCTTCTCAGGGGGCGTGGCAGTGGATGTGGTGTGTGTGTGTGGGGGGGGGGGGTTAACTCAGTAAGCCTAGAACACAAACAGTGAGCCCAGTGCCATGCCAGTGGCAGCACCAGCGAGAATGCCCAGTGCCATGTCCCCCGCACTGTCCCGACGCTCCTCCTGAACAATGATGTGGCGTTGAGGGTAGGCCCCTGAACGACAAGAAATGAACAATCGTTGTTAATGTGGGCTCCTTATCGTACTTATTTATCGTACTTCACAGGCAGTGTTTCACGGCTAAAAATGCACGGGTGCGTTTCATGGCTACAGAAGGTTTCACAGGAAGTGTCTGGGGCTTCGACTGGCAAGCACACTGTCCAATGGCAAAGGAGAACTCGCTGTCTCGTCCGTTACCTTGGTACTGATAGGGGTACGCCAATCCATAAGGCTGCCCGTCAGCAGTGTATAGCACCTGTGCTCCAGGAGGTGGAGGGGCAGGGCCATAGGCTTGGTACACCTGTGGGGAGTTCATAATTAGCAGTACGCTAGCCTGCGTTGCGCCAAACAAGGTCAGTCTGGTGTATTAAAATGTGATGGACTCACTAATGCAGAGATCTGAAATTATCACAGCCACTACCTGAGGGGGCGGGGCATACTCCGAGTATGGGGGAGGTGCAGAGGCCATGACCTCCTCAGCAAAGCCAGCCTGAGGAGAGGGGATCACCTGTAATGGACACGGAGAAAGACGTGAGACTAAGTAACAGCAGGGCCATAAGCCAAGCCAGTTGCACACTTGGTGCTGCCCACATCCGGCACCCTTCTTATAATGGCCACCAGGGGGCGACCCAGATCAGGAAGTGAACACAGAGGTTATGGGCTCAACAGGGCAGATGGGCATTCACTCACCACGTTCACCCTGGCATCTTGGAGGGCCATTAACCACGCCCTGAAAAACAGAAGGCCTATGCCACCATGAACCCGCCAACATTTCATATTTCATACTTTATAATAGACCCATTTTAGACTCTCAAATGAATTATTAGTATAACTGTGGTAGCACGTCAAGAGCAGCACAATTTTAGTAAGCAATTAACTCACAGGGCATCGTCTGCACTATCTGCGCAGATGCTGATGGTCCTGCCGTCTCTGCACACAATCTGCAGTAGGGAGTCCTGGCCCTTTCCCTCAGGGGGACTGAGGTCTGTAGATGAACACAGAAGGCCATGAACCCAGGTGCGAGAATGACATCATGCACACGTTTCAGAAAGTCCTCCTCCATCATTTGAGGTCATGCCCACGTGCGTGAAATGCAGGTGACAGGTTACAGGCTTACGGACCCCGACACATAGCGCCGGAGCGGATGTTGATGCAGTCCACCCTCATGTGGACCTCATCCTCCATGTCCCGTCGGTGCTGGTCGTTGTAAAAAACCAGACGGCCATCGGACCACAGATCAAACCAGTTCCGTTTCCAGCGGCGCAGGATGGTACCTAAAACAGAAGAATCCCAAAGCAAAGATAATATTTAAGGAAACAATAGGCCTATTTCTCTCTCCCTCTATACACACAGACTGTGCGTGTGTGCGTGTGTGTGTTAAAAGCGCCCTTCACCCGATTGGCAGTCGCCAGTTTTAGCAATCGATTTTCCATCTTACGGGATGCTATTAATCACAGCATGGACACACACTGCATCACTCGTGCCCCACCGTTAGCACTCACTCTGTCTTTGAAGCCATCCACTTTTTACATAAGCCATCGTCGGAAAAAAATAAGGAAGTTCCCTGCAAAGGCAGAAAATAAACAAACAAACAATTAAATAAATCGGATGTCAGCACTCCAGACAACAGGGAACGTAAGAGAGCAAGTTAGTAACCCACTTGAGACAACCACAAACCTAAAAAAAAGCATATCCGAAGCAAAACGTAGTAACTAAACATATATAGTATCCACCAATAAAGTTAGACTGCTAAGTAAATTAAGGTACAAACACGATTTCTTAAATTAAGGGGAAAAAACCCATTTACGCACTGCTGTACAAAAGAGCCGGTCAGGTTCACATTACAGCTATTGATAATGGTTAATCGATTAATGAAGAGTGCCGCCAGCTTATTTGGGGAAAGGCTGTAAATTTATACGGCAGGCTCGGTGCGCCCTATGTCCGCGCCGCTCCCATGACGGTACAGCGACCACGGCCTCGGCTGCAGCGCCACCAACTAACAAAATATGCGACATAGTCTACAGATACTATGGAAGCGAAAAACGGCGACTTTACATTAACTGGGGAGCAGAGACGCCAGTACCTGTGGATAAGCGACGGCTCCGCTTCAGCTTTTTTGCTAGGGGCAGACGGGACTCGTTGAAAATGACATCAACATCAGCTGGCTTTGCCTCCCACTGCATGATGGGAATCGTAGTTTTGTAGCATGAACTAATCCGGTTAAATTCTCCGAGACTTCGCGACGAATCGTTTGCTGTCGCAGTGGCTGAAGTTATGCCCCGATGCGGATACTTAATCAGCTAATGTTCTGTTTTTTTTTTTGTTGCATAAAGTGGTTACGTCAAGCAGGCGAAGAACGCTTGGAGGCATCGCATATCCCATAATTCATTATTAAACACGAGTCCGGGTTAGTGATCGTGGGTGATCAAATATTTCTGCTGGTAGCTGAGGGTTAACAGCTTTGCAAATTCGTTTTATTTTGATTATTCGGGCGGAAGTAACTTAAAACTACATGAAGGGCCGTATTTCATAGAAAATTGCTTGCTCGTGGGACCAAAAATACAAAACAAACAACAGTACGACATCAACTTTACCATAAACCTTCATCAGGTTTCCCAAATATTTACACTGCATTTCTGTATACGCCCTGAAAGATTTCAACAGAAAGGCTGTCTAGAAATTTCCACACTGCCCTCATTTTCCTACTAACCACGGGTTTGGGTTACCTAAATAAAACATCACTTTATTAAAGATTAAATTTATTTTTTCACACCAAACACTGCTCGGTAGTTGTTTTAATTCCTTTCTGTTGATACGGTGTTTGCAAGGAGCTAGTTGTTTAAGGTTTACTATGATGGCTACACTGCTACCGCTTTGCACGTAAACAACCCCCTGGCCTCGGTGCAAGCTAACGATTTCTAACTTAGCACCTTTCTAACTTCATTCCAGAGCTATATAGTGCCTTACCTTCGTTTCCCCTCCTTCCCAGTTCTAGCACAATCCTCGTCAATTCCGTCTATACTTCTGTATGGGGTTGGTCGCGGATGATATCCCTCAGCTTTAATCCCGAGTATTCGGGCGTGAACCGACTTACTTTCCCCGTATCAGACGTGCAATTACATAATTATATACAAGCACTGTTACTTAAAGCCAATCGTTGCCTTGTAAATGGGTATCAGGGTGGATGAGGTTTTTCAGTAGTAGTTCTAGTTGTTTTTATAGGCAATTAATACAGTACTCACAATTTATATGCAACAAAAAAATTGATCGACTGATTTTGTCAGTCAAACCGTCAATGCTCATCCATTAATGATCTGCTTCTTGAACCGTAGGTAAAGTCTTTGCCAGCGTTTTTGGAACAACGTTATTGATGTTCATTTCGATTTTTATAATAGTAGGACCCAAATGTATTAGAATGGGTGAAGAATTAACTGGCTCACTGCACCATTTTTTTTGTTCTCCATAAACCATCACCGTATGTACAGCAACATACATACCATGCTGCTACTGGCTTTCATATGCATATTATACATACGTGGGTTTCTAGCTGTACCCCTACCACAGTATAGCGACAGTCGTATAGTAACAGCGAGGACCAAGCCCACTTTTCTGTCCAATCAGCGCCGCGGCTACTGTTTTCTGACATTTCCAGCCAATGGGAGCGAAGGAAGTTATGAATAATTAATTCAGACATAAGCCGCTGGAGGACTTGACGCGGGCTATATTGAAAAAAAAAAAAACACATGTTTATACTTCTGGAAAGTAAAGATGGCGACGGCAATATACTTGGAACATTACCTTGACAGTAAGTAACACGATCCGGACACATTTTCTAGGAAGCTGATGTTAAATTTAGCGTACCTGCCTAGGTGCCGTGGATAAGTTTTTACCTTTTTTTTTGCCTGACTTGCAAAGTAAGGAAACGGGAAACTGAGCACCTCGCTTAAGCTCCCAGCTTTGGGGAAACGCTGATCAGCTCCGTGCTTTTAACGTATGAACTCGTAACCTTTTAATTTGCGCAGACGGACAGGGGACAGTGCGCAAAGGCACCGGAGGCGCGCCTTGATCAGCTGCTGGGTGTATCGGATTTACCCGTATGAACAGGAAGCCCCGCAGTCCTCCGACTATATGGCGGACATGGAGTTTTCTACCCTCTAACATGAGACTAAAATGTAAATTGGGAAAGTGGCAGAGGGACATAGTGCACGATACATTAAATGCCCGGACATGTGTATAATAGCGGCTGGTAATAAGTCGGGAGGGTAAAAGAAGTTTATTGCCAGGCAGGCGCTTAGTAAGCGGGCGGGATGTTTGATTTTTAAGTGCGTCACACGCACACATGGCACCCCCGCTGCCTGTCACAACGGGGAAACGCAATGTCCGCAGTCCGCCTGCGCACTGGCCTTATTCATTTAGACCATTTACCGATATTATCACTCTCCCGATGACATATTTTAATTACGGTAGGCGGGCTGACCTGTTGCACATGAAAAGAAAAAAACTCTGTCCTCCGTTTGACAGAGGGCGCGTAAAATAGCTGTCACCGAAACGGGACGGTGCCCGGGGTTCAAACATCTTGCCATCTGGGGATTTCCATCCGAGCGGATCTGGTTGTGTTTCAGGTATCGAGAATCTTCCATGTGAGCTGCAGAGGAACTTCACCCTTATGCGGGAGCTGGACAGCAGAACTGAAGGTAAACAAGCTGTAGAAACGTCACCAAACATTAATGTCACCTTCTGAGCTGCAGTGATTCCCACGCAGGGGCCAATTAACGCACAGGCTATCCTAGGGTATAGCCTCGGGCCCCTGCAAACATCGGGGCCTCTCGCTTGGGGGAAAATGAAGCGATTGCTTCAATTGGCAGCACCTGAGTGTACATGCTGTGTTAGTCTAGGCCCCCAGATAAATTGTTTGCCGTGTGCCGCAGAGAAGAAGAATGAGATCGACAAGCTGGCTGCGGAGTATATCGCGAACGTGAGGAAGCTGGCCTCGGAGCAGCGCGTGGAGCACCTGCAGAAGATAGAGACAGCATACAGGAAGTGCAAAGAGTACAGCGATGATAAGGTGCAGCTGGCCATGCAGACCTACGAGATGGTAAGTGCTGTGTGTCTCAGAGAGGGGGGCGTGGGGGTGCTCTCTGCGCTGGTTAACCTTTAACCCCCCATAACCCATCCCCAGGTGGACAAGCACATCCGGAGGCTGGATGCTGACCTCGCCCGCTTTGAGAATGAGCTGAAGGAGAAGCTGGAAATCAGCAGCTATGACGGACTGGAGAGGAGGAGCCTGAAGAGCAGCAACAAGAGTAAGGGGGGAGGGACTGTGCGCTGTTGTGGGGGGAGCAGCCCCCCTCCCCTCCCCCTCTGACTAGGGGGAGTCTGCACTCTGAGTCACCCCTTAATAGCATTAGTGTGGGATGGGGGACCCGAACCACGGAGGGCTGGTTCAGGTGCGACTTTTTGGGATGACCTCTTAATCAGCCAATAATAAAGCAGTGATTCTCAACTCCAGTCCTGGGGACCCACTGTTATTGGCTGATTTGAGAGGTCATCCCAAAAACCCACACCCACACCGGCTGTCAGGCTGTTATCGAAATTGTTGACCAGTCAGTCGCTAATAGTAAGGCTAGCCGAAATACAGCCGGCAATATGACCCTGTGTGGCAGAAGCAGTCCCTCGTACACAGAAGTGATTAAGGTTAGCAGTCACCTTCGCGATCATTCACAATCATCCACTGGCAGCCACATGACAGTACCATACGCTAAAAATGAACGGCCGCTTTTTGCCGTACCACAGTCGAGGCAGCCTCACTCCAATAGGGGGACTCAACGTGTCCCCCTGTCCCTGTGACACACCTCACACACCTCATTTCTGTCCCCAGAAGGAAGCAGGAACCTCAAAGACAAGAAGGGCCCCAGGGGCCGCAGCAGGAAAGGCTCAGATGACGATTCGCCGAGGAAGAAGAAACTGAAGCAGAGGTAGGCGAGGCTAGAAGCCGCCTGGAACCTGGAGTCTGGCCAGTCTGCTCCTACTATCCATGGCCACATTCTGACACCGGTTCCAAAACTCCAGAGCGCTGTGCCTTGTATCCACATGGGTAGGGAGTGTTAACATTTGTGTGTATGTTCTGTGTCGTACCCCCCCCCCCCAGCGCGGAGTTCAATGATTCGCTGCTGGCCGTGCACCCCTCTGATGTGCTGGACATGCCCGTGGACCCCAATGAGCCGACGTACTGCCTGTGTCACCAGGTGTCCTACGGCGAGATGATTGGCTGTGACAATCCTGACGTACGTGTTGTCCATCGGGGTCTTTGGCTGGTCCAGTGGGTGGCACTGTGGGCTCGATTCCTGTCCCCTGGCTCTGTGTGTGTGGGGTCCACATCAACATGCAGGGCTCGTTCATTATGAATGAATCGTTTAATTGCTCCCCTCTCTGTCTCTTTCCCTGAACAGTGTCCGATCGAATGGTTTCACTTTGCCTGTGTCGATCTTACTACTAAACCGAAAGGGAAATGGTAAGTATTTTTTAACTATGCTGGAACAGGATTATGAAGTGTTTTGAATGTCTGATAAGTGTTTCTGGTGTTTGGTGTCTGTTGCGCACATTTAAGAGGTTAATGGTTTGTGCTCCATTTCAGGTTTTGTCCCCGCTGTACCCAGGACAGGAAGAAAAATAAGATGTAAATTTGTTTCATTAAATATATATTTTGTGTATCGGTAACATAGTGTAATATATTCAGTCCCTTTTTAAATTGCCCATGATTTCCTACTTTTGGTCAAAGGCAAAAGCTTTTATTTTTAAATTTGCTGTTTTTGAAATACTTGAAATAAGTGGCAATCCTCGTATACCATTGTATACAGACAGATTTTGATGAACGTTGTGGCACCCCTGGGCACCAACGCTGTCATTCCTGCGGACTCGAGCCGGGAGCGTCCCCTCCAGTTTTAACGTTTATAGCTACCTCGTGGGCCAAGCTTGTGCACGGTTTCTGTGACTCTGAGCCCTGCCTGAGATCCCAGAATGCCATGCGTTGCATTCAGCATGAACCAAAAAAAAAAAAGCTGTCAATTTGGCTACTCCGTCCGAGGGGGGGGACACTACCTGCCCAAATGAGTCCTTTGGATTTGCGGGGGACAGTTGTTGCTGCGTCCATCTGGCTGCCTGTACCGTCCCTTCGTGGTATCTCCCAGCCATAGTCTTTCACTTTCACTTTGTCCTCGTGTTATTTTTAATCGTTTTTTTTAATACTCTGGCCTCCCCCAATGAAACATTAACCAAGCTGCCATGTGAAGATAATTTGCTACATGCTAATTGGCTAACAGCTAAGCTACGCCGGTAACCAAAAATCACTGCAAGGGGAAAAAGAGATGGATTAATAGTGTGAACTTTCAGAACACACTGTTTTTATTTTTTTATTTTTACCCAGCAATGTGTCAGCTATGTAGTCATCTGTCTCCTTTGTTTTATTGTTATTTCGTAATTGTTTGTGGAAAAAAATGCTATCACCCAGCTCATTGTACAGTATGTGACACACCGATCGGTCTGCAGGCCACAGCTTGGACACCTAACCGTCCGGCTTCAGTATGCAGTACCTGTCAGGTGTCAGAGGGGGCAACCTGTACTAATGTACTATGAAAAGATACTTCGTACTGGAGCCCCACAATGCACTGGGTGTCTCACCCACAAAATGTGTATGAGAGGTGCAATCACCTACAAACTGTTCTTTTGACAAATTCCTCTACAGTATTTATGTTCCCTCAGTTGGGTCGGTGTTAATGTGTACTGTGGGTCCCAAACAATACACCCACATAAACAGCACTGTGACTCAACCCGGTCAATAACCCAGTCAGTTTCAAATCCCAGTAACCACCCACGTTCTGCCCGTTTTGGAAGTTTGTTCAGGAAACTCCAAATGCATCTCCATTGTGATTGTAAGGTTATTTTTTATATAACTGTGAAAATAAAACAATCTAGATATTGTCTTGTAACTTTAAGGGAACCTGTTATATTCTGTGTTGGCCACTAAGTGTTCATACTTTGTAACTTGAATGTTTCATATCAGCAACCAAATAAACATTTACCAGTATTTACCGTACATTATCGTTAATTATCTCATGTTGTGAACATTCATGCTGGTGGGAGTCCTGGTCGGCGGCATTGGGACTTTAATGGGGTTTATTTTGTAATTACTGCCACCTGTCTAACATGCATGTACTAGAAAATTATTTTAAGTATTGTGATTTTAACGTATCCTTAAATTTGCACTGATTTAGTAGTCTGGAATGTTTAGAACAGTCCTTGGAAACCTTGTAATTGTAGAATTATCAAAAATGTTAAGTATATTGTAATGCTGTTCACAATATATAACTGATATGTGTAGAGTATGTTATGTTCAAAAACATGACTGTAAACAACTAGGATGATTAGAAATCAGCTATATTGTCTGTTTCCTTTGTAAAACAAAAATCTCAATTCTTTTCTATTTCAAAGGGTTTTATATATCTATATATTTTTTGACCATGAATGTTACCAATAAAAGTGCTGTCCTCTCTGTAGCCCCAGTTATTTTATCAAACAGCTTAGGTGTCACCCAACACAGGGTCTCTCTGTTCTCTCTGACCCTGTCAATCATTCACTTGGGGATCCCTCCATCGTTTACATATGTATTACTAGAATTGCAGCCAATAAGTTTTAAACATAAATTGACAATCCTAGAACTTTCCAGAACAAATTTGGGGTTTGCATATTGTGTGAATAACTCATTTATCTGATACACGTCACAAAATCAGTCCCATCAGCTAATCATCATAACAATCGTAACACAATGTAGCACATGGTGTGTGGAACCCAAGTGCATTTATATCTGGACGCCTGTCATTTTCTGATAATTCTCAATACTGTCAGAAAAAAAAGCTTTATTTCATAAACAGCCATTTATCATAAGAGGGTCAGATCTGGACTTGAGATCACTCTTCTCAGAATAAATGTTCTGGTCAACATGTGCAGTTCACTGAGTGTAGTGTCTGTAATACACAGTTCAATATCCGTAGCTTCACAACAGTATGGCCTGTGTGCATTCCTGCTTTTAGAGCACCACTGTTTTGGGTCCCTGGAGAATTATTATTAGCTGATGAAAAACAGGTGCCTATTGTTCATTTCAGTAGGGAGGAGTTTTTAAATGGTCCCTGGAGGTCTCGTGACATCAGGAGACTGAAAGAAGCAGAGTAGGCTGACGTCTATCATTTGTCTTCCTGTACCCAAATGCTCCCTCTTCCTGTCCTTGTAGCTCCATCCACTGTCCCAGTTGGAGTATCACAAGGAGGCATGTAGAACTACATGCTGGGTATTTGCACACATTTAACCAAAATAACTGAACAAATGCGTCTATACATGGGAGCATGTTCAATGTGTAGGAGAGTTTGATATTGAGGGTACATAACTAAAAATGGAAATAGAAAGGACTATTTATTGGGGGGATGAAAGAATCCAAATTTAATATTGTTGGGTACACGCCCCCCCCATTTCAAAGCCTCCGAGTGTTATTGTCGGGCGTGTAGTGGGGGGGGGGGGGCTAGAAGGCGTCATCGGACTCATCCTCGTCCCAGCTGCAGGGCTCGCGGGCATCCGACTCGGGAAACTCCACTTCCAAGTCGTAGACAAAATCCGGGTCTTCCTCTCTCCTACGGTTCCGCTCGAAGAGCTCGTCCATCTGGGCCTTCCTGCAAGCCAGCTCCTCATCCTCCAGCTTGTTTAGGTCCTCGTCACCAGGGTCCGGCCGGGGTGTGAGCAGGGGGCGGCCCAGGAGGTGGTCCCGCAGCACGGTATGGAGCCTCTCCAGCTGCTCCTGGGACACACCCTCCAGGTAGGGGCTGTGCCGCAAGCTGTTCTTCAGCCGTTCTGCTGCTCTGCTGCAGTCTGTTCAAGGGCAGGGAAGGAAGAGAGTTATTGGAGTGGTAGTGTGAAATAAAATAGGCTTGAAGCACCACAAGAGAATAAAGTGCGAGAGCTGACAAGTTAAAAACAGATTTAAAAACAGAATCCGGTTGGCACTCCATAGAATCAGGCGGTCAAATCCTCTCACGTTTCCTGACCTGAGAATTTCGAAAAATTCCTCACTGGCATGATCCTCTGACGCATTTTTCCGGTGTCAGCGTCTTCGTAGATTAGAACGATAGCCGGGGGGCTGAACTTCACTCCGCACCGTTTAGCTACGTATGACATCTTCGGACAGAATCCTCTACCGATCAAAGACCCGAGGGCTGATGTAGGGACCGCTCATGTGGACACAGCCTTCAGTTTGATCAGCCCCACCCCGGGCAGCACATTTAAGTTTCACTTTGTTTTAGCATTTAAACGCCTCATTCCGGGTCAATAGCTCCCAGTGCATCCAGGAACGTATTTAGAAACTGAAGCTAGCTTACTGCTAAAGGTAACCACCTAGCACATAAACAGTCAACGCTGCACACACAGGCGTACGAAATTAATATCATACGCAATAAAAAAAACGCAACAAGATGCTAATTAGATCTTACATCGTTCAATTTCTGTATTCAGTACAATATCCCACATTTTCCGATCTCGATGCACGGCGTCCGCCTGCCCGCGTTGCCATCACTACTATTAGGGCGACTACAACATGCCTGTTCAGTTCGCAAATTTACTAACACAACAATCACCGACTTTATATGTATGTAGACTGTTTTTTTCCAGATACATTTAATTATGCACAAAAGATAGTCTTTGCTTATTTTTTTCTATTAAATGTAGTAATGTAGTATTTCAAAAAAGCAATCTCATTAGCCACCTATGCACTGGTTCACTTGACAGCTTAGTTCAGCTTGTTTTTGGGCATTGTAAAAGTATTAGGAAGAGGAGGAAGTAAAATGAAGGTGGCTTTTTACTGCATTTTATACTTGACTTATGAGATTGTTGAAGCTAACATTTCGGGTAAATGAATGCGGGGATGCGGCGGGTTGGAAATGTCGTGTGTTAATTTTACTGGCGTACCGGTAGTGAATTACGTTACATTTGGTTTATCACTTGATAACCAACTGGTTATGTCCATTCCCGTTAATTATTTTATGCACGTAGGTGAAGATGACTGTGGTTTCTCTGAAGCATGGTTGGAGCAGCTGACTATATGGAGGGAAATACAGAAATCGGGATTTCACAGGTATACACAGACGCCCAACTAACTACTTCTTTCTTACCCAGTTTTACATAACTAGTTGTTATAATACAAAATGACACCACTGACAGTCACCGAAATACCACTTATTACTGTGGATTCTAGTATTTATTAGATTGAAGATGCATGAACATTTATCTGGCTATTTATACACCCCGGTTTTGTTTAGGGAGTTAGTAACCGAAGTGCTTTGTAGCACTGAGATACCCGGTGACCTCCGGGTTTTGCTGGTACAACGCCTCCCCAGTGGGGTCTACATAGACCGATACCAGTTAGCATCACATCGATCGGAGGCAGCGTTACAGGTATGGAAATCTTCAGAGAATGCAAATCTGTTTTATCGCTGTATGTGTCTGACATAAAGAGATATTTGCCTGTAGGTTCAGATCTCCTAAAGTCAAATAATCGCCTTGAGTTATAATGATCGGAAATTAGAGTTTATCATTTTTTGTATTTCCTTTGTGTGTTTGCTTTGATGATTGTTGCTGCCCCCCCCCCCCCCCCAGGTGCTGCTGGACACTGAGCTTGACCTGGAGGCCCCCACCTACTCATCCGCAGATTTCACCACCTTCCTCTTCCCCTCTTGGGACCTTGATGGAGGAGGGGTCCGTCGTCTCCTAGCAATGGTGCCGATCCACATGCGGTACCAGCGGCCGTCTCGCTCAGGGGAGCGGTGGGAGCGGGTCGACATTGAGGCTCCGCACCTGTTACTCCGTACTGATTCATGTGAGGATGTTTTCTTATACATCACCCAGACATCATACAAAATGCGTGATGTGGAACAGACACATCAGAGAAAGCAGGACTTGAAATTGCCAGAATTTAACTTACTATGACTTGCGGCAGGTTACAAAATTTAAAACGGTTTATAGAGAGATTGAATATGTGGACATACATAATATGTTGATGAAAGGGCCCTATTGTGCTTTTCTGATATTCCTCTTTCTTTTAATGTGCTATATGCTGTAGTTTTATGTGCATGTAGACAGTCTGCAGTGTGTTAAGGCCCAAAGTACATGCCAAAAGGAGTAACTGTCACCACAGAAACCACTCTTCTCTAATCTGCCTAAAACACCTCGTAGGAATTCCAGCCCTTACTTCCATGACATGATGAGGTCACCTCGTAACACAATCCTTATTGGCTGTCTACCTTCAAGGATCTGTCTGCAGGCTTTGAAATAGGGAACATGTTGGGCAAGCTGACCAATCATAGCACACTGGGCTTATTAGGGGTGGGCTTATTAAGTTCTAACAGAGTGTTTCAGATGGAGTTGTAGACGGAGTGAATAGAGATGTACAGTATGACAAGAATAATGTGCTTTTGGAATTTTGAAGCATGAAAATGTATTTTATTGACCCCTAAAAATTAAATTATGAACAGTAAAAATGTGCGCAAGCATGTTTGACCCCCAAAGTCTAGTTCATGTGACTAGTGTGTTCACTCTGTACCATACTTGGGCTCATGCATGAGCACAGAACACAGACATGACGTCACTGATGCGACTGGCACATGCATGCGCACATGTACACTACATGAACCAAACCCGGAAGGAATGCATCATTAGTGACAAACATCGCGGTAGAGTGATCACTTTGGTCTGTGGCAGAGGTGCAGTGCTTGCTGGAAATCTGAGTTGATGAGAGTATCTTGGAACAGCTGGATGCAATACGCAAAAACTCCAAGATGTCTGACAAAATATGGTACTTTACAATTAAGTGATCAGTGGTCATTGTCAACACACCACAGCAGACATTGCGCAACAACGAAATGTGTCCTCTGCATTTGACCCATATGTGACTTTCATGACATAGCAGGGGGCAGCTAATTCAGCGCCCGGGGAGCAGTGCTTGGGGACGGTACCTTGCTCAGGGTACCTCAGTGGTGACTTGCTGGTGGGGGATTCGAACCTGCAATCTTTCAATTACAAGTGCGCTACCCTAACCATCAAGCCACCACTGCCCACTATGTTTATACGTGCAGCATGACAGAATGAAAATTGTTTCATACTTGATAAATCAGAGGGGCGTTTCTTATTGTGCCAAAATGTCTCCAAATAAGGACATTAATGATGAACTCCGTTATTCTGTGAGATAGCACTTCCCTTTGTATGTTTTCTTCTATACAAAAAAGTCGCACGCTGGTGATGAAAGCATGCTGAGGTTTGGGACGTTAAGTGCAATGTGAGCGCAGACCAGTAGGGGAGTGGGGACGATCGTGTGTGTATGCCCTTATTTCCCCCCCCCCCACACACAAGAGCATGTTTGTCCCCCCTCCCCACTGGTCTGCACTCACATTGCACTTTTAAATTACTTCAGTCCTCTGGCTGACACAGAGAGCATTGCTGCCTGAGCCACTTGCTCAGGCCTTGAGCTGGCCTCATGCCCGCTACTCTGCCTGATGGGTCCTGTCTCTTGTCTCTGTAGGTAAGCAGCCACCCCTGCTTCCCCCATACCGGCTGGTGGAGTCCCCCTGCACAGCCCACAACCTCAGCACGTGCACTTGGCTGGAGGTGCCCCCCCGGCAGGTACGGCACCCGGCCACATGATGTCTGTGTGCTTCAGCAGATGACGCATTTGTGTACGTGGGCCTGCTGGCTCCAGTCCCATTACTGTAGCTTTTAGAGGAAGATATTCTAGATTGTCATTCTAGATTATTGGAGTTTTCTGAAACTCTATAGATATAAAATATCTGCGCTGTATGCGTTCATTACATAAGACGGTAATATTTTATATTCTTATTGTTCTTGGTCTATATAGACTTACTCTGAAGAAGAAAATGCAGTAATATCTGACTTAATCAATTCAATATGGTTTGAATAAAGCATAGTGGCACGGTGGTGCAGTGGTTTGCACTGCCGCCTCACACCTCTGGGTTCAAGTCTCTGCCGGAGTTCCGTGTGTGTGGAGTTTGCATGTTCTCCGCGTGTCATCATGGGGTTCCCTCCGGGTACTCCAGTTTCCCCCCCCAGTCTAAAGACATGCTGAGGCTGATTGGAGTTATCGTGTCTGCCATTGTATGTGGGTGAGTTAATGGTGTGTGAGTGTGCCCTGTGATGGGTTGGCGCTCCATCCTGGGTTGTTCCCTGCCTTGCACCCGTGGCCTCTGGCATAGGCGCCAGACCCCCGCAACCCTGAATAGGACAAGCTGTTTCAGAAAAAGGATGAAAGGATGGTTGTAATATGCGTGTGGTTGTGCTGGACCATGATATAGGCCTACTTTCTAAGCAGGCAGATTATGTCTATATAGAATACAGATTAAATCTATATTCAAAACACAGGGTTTCCGGTAATTACTGATTAACATCGCGGTGGCGTTTCTTTTTAAGCTTATATATTTTGCTGATGCAGGTTTCTGTAAAGGCTCTGTCTCTCTGCAGGTCCAGACGGCGCTGACTCTGCACGTCCCCGTGGGCGATCAGTCCCTGGTGGTGTCTGTGTGCGCGGGAACACTGCTGGCGACGCTGTTCTGCTTTGGCGCGGTGGCCAGTGCCGTGTGCAAACATGGCCTCAGACGCTAGTATATAATAAATACTCCAACACCATATTGCATCACCTCTGGGTGGGGGGGATGTCTCAGTGGAAATGTGAAAGGGGAGCGGCTGTGTGACTGTTAACTGACTGTGAATGTTTAAAGACTGCAAGCTGATTTACTGCACTGAAACATTTTGTATTTATATTATTTAGCTGCAATAAACCAAGCGTTTTATACAAACGCAGTGGCCCTTGTAGTGTAATGATGCAGACCGTTGTTGCTAAATCTACCGAATCCAATCTATGAATCCCCTAATAGTACAGAGTTATTAATTTTATTCTTGCACGTAATAAAACAAAACTGACTATCACAGCGATTAATTTAAAACGTAAATGGGAACTGGCAAAAAAACTTTCAGCAGCTCGTCTGATACATTGACAGATCAAGATGAGACGCGCTGTCATATTGTCATATTTTTTCCGGCATCCATGTCGGACAAAAGGACTACGATTCCCGGTTCGCAATCCCTTTTGTAAAGGCCCCTTTCCCATAATTTTCACTTATCCGGGAAAAACAGCACGGGGCCCATTGCCTGATGTTGGCTCGGAGGTTTAAAAAGTCTTTAAAAACTACATCTCCCATAATGCAACTCGAACAACCAAAGTGTTTCTAACCCTCTTTAATCCTAGTATTATCTTAATGCGGAGTTCCAGTGATTTATATACGTCGATGATAAACCGTAAAAGTGATCAGTGTAGAGATATTTGCCAGAAAAATGTTGAAATGCAGTCGGGGCGTTTTCGGTGTGCTCCGGGACTGGGCTGGGTCGGTAGTTCCGCTTCCCCTCCGCCATTGCGCTGCTTCCCAGGGCTGGAGTTTAAAGAATAAAAAAGAAACACGGGGAAAAGCGACCGCATGTTAAGTTTATGAGCGGATACTTTAGTTAATCTGCGCTTCTGGGGCTGCTGAGAGAGCCAGGTAGGCTGCAGTTTTGCTGGCGAGTTTGCGACGGACTTTGCTGGTGAGTTTTCAGCGCACATCCAGTCCGTTATTTAATCCTTCATTGTTACTGAAAATGAATTAATGTGCGTCCACGGCCGGAAACCCTTTAAATTGTGCTGTGTTTATAAAAACTGCTCCCACAGTCCCGGTTTGCCTCTTTCTTAGACGTCTCTTCTATTATGCTGTATTTTTTAGAAGTTACCCGGCCAATCTGATCTAAATTTGCTGCGAATAAAAAGTAAAAACCTTGTTTAATATCAAATATGTGATATCTATTCAAGACAGCAAACCGTAACCCGGACGGATTAAATCATTAAACACTGACTGTTGTCAGTGTTTTTTAGCCTAAAGCTTCTAAAGTGATGATGTATAATTTTCGCCTTTTCTAAGTAATTTACGGATTTAGGAAGTCGGGGTCAGTGTTATTTCTTTACTATATAACTGATGGGCCTCTACGTGGTAAGGGGCCATATAAAATAAACTGTTATTATTTTGACATCAGCGGGTGTTCAGAAATTAACATCTAACGCTAGTTTTGTGTTCAAACTAACAAACTGTTGTGTTGAAGTGCTACAATGAAACCGAATCACCCAGTTGTTTCCTCTCTCGACTCCTGCCATTACCGATGTTGCTTTTGTTTTGCCTTCGTAAAAAACATCTGTAACTTGTGCGAGTAGTTTACCAGATGTATATAAATGTTGATTTAATGCACAGCTCCAGGTGGGATGAATCTGTACACTTTCAATTCCAGGACTGCCATAATGCGGCGTTTTATTGCGCTTGTAGTACCGTGTTATTTGGACGTGGTGGTCTTCACACACGGATATGAGTTAACAGGCCGTATTGGGCAATTTGGGGGGGGCGTCCGTGACATGGGAAGTGAGATTGCTCCCTCGCATGAAGCAGCACTGCTCACAGATCCCTTTTATTGACGCCTCTTTCCTGTGAATGAAGCGGAAGGATCTGAGCGCGCGCCGGGACAGGTTGCAGGTTCGAGTCCTACGCGCTCGTGGCCCAGTACTTAACCCCATTTAATCGTCGGAACGGGTCGGGTTCCATCGATCCGAAGTTCCTGAACAACGAAATACGGATGATATCGTGTATTGAAACGGCCCGGTTCCGCGTCCGGTACACGGTCACGCGCTGCGCCGTTTTGGAACTGCTCTCCAAATGCAAGCCCTCCGCTCCAGAAAACGATCCAGTGGTCAGGAGTGGCCTTGTCAAGGTAGATAGACGAGTGAAGACCAATTATAGACGTTTTCTCTTAAAAAAGGAGAAAAGTAAAAAAAAAAAAAAAAAAAAAAAAACATACTTCCCTTTTTACTTCAGACCTCGGGGGGGTGTTGGTAATCCCGGCAATGGGATGGGGATCCCTTGTCACGCTTGTTTAACCCTGGGCCCCTCCGATTATGTCCCCCTCTAATTGCAAGAAGCCCCTGGGGATGGTGGCCATGGGTGGGGTCACCTGCTGTGGGGTGTTTTTGTCCACACTGAGTTGGGACTGAGTGTGTTTTTTTTTTTACTTCTCAGTACATTGGCTGCTGTTAAAGTAAGCTGGTGTATTTGGCCCTCAGGTTCATGCAGCTCACTGTTTGCTGGACATTTGGCTTTGCATGCAGCACCAGTGTCTCTCTGGGGGCTTTAACCTGGAGCGGTGTCACTGTTATGCGTCCATTCTGCTACCTGCTAATAAAATGACAAAAAAGGGCTTTTTACCCTGCAGCAGGAGGCCGATTGGAGTGTTGCAGGTTTGACATGCATATGGACATATGAGCCTAAATTTGGAGCGTGTTTTCATTTTGAGGGGTCATGGTCAGTATCACCATCACTGCAGACCCTTAAGCCTGACCTGTGAGGCTGCTGTGGCACGTGTAGGCATAACACTTGTGTTGTGGCGCTACAGGCCAGAGAGTGCAGCCGTGTTTTTTCCTTCTACTGAGAGACAGTTTTAGTGACAGGAAGTGCATTGTGGGCCAGCAGTCGGGTTGTGTTAGCGGTGCGTGACATGCATGTGAGCGAGCAAGTTACCGTGGTATGGGAGTGTCCAGCGTTCGCTGTCATTTTACCATGCAAGGCCCTGACCGTAACAAGTGCAATTGCTTGCTTCCTGTTTCTGTGTTCCTCGCCATTTTCAATCTCTCTCTCTCTCTCTCTCTCTCTCTCTCTCTCTTTCGCTCTCTTTCTCTCTGTCATCTGGCCATCAGCGTTGAGGACATAGGGCCAGAATGGGCTGTCCCTTGCGCCCCTAGCTAGCCAGATTTCTCCGACATAGTTTCGTGTGATGGGATTTTTATAGAGCGTGCAGGGGGTGGACTCTGGGACAGTGAGATGTATCCTGAAGCCAGCCCCTATTGGCTGTGCTTTGGGCTTGCAGTTGTGTGCCTGGAAAGCACTAGAAGGAAACACATGCCTTAAACAGGTGCATGCAAATACACAGACAACATGCTTAAGCTGAGCTTGACGCGTGGGTGCATGTGCATGTTGGTGTATGTGTTTCATTCCTAGCTCTGAATGGGTGGGGGGGGGGGGGTGTGGTCTTCCCCCCATGGTTCCCGTGGCGATGCTGGAATGCCGGCGATGCAGCCATGGAGTAGCAATTTCCTGCGATGAAAACACTGGCTGCTTCCTCACCCCCCCTCCCCCCCCCCCCCTTCACCCCGGGGAGGCTGTCTGGATGTCCAGTCACCTCGCATGCAGCTGGTGAGCTGGTGTGTCGGCCTTCTGGGCACCCCTCTGGCTGATTGGGGTGATGCAGTGTGGTCATGATCATCTTCATTCTCCAGTTGATCACATGGCATCCAAAGCTACCTGGTTCGAAAAATCATAGCAGCCCTGCAGCTGGTTACGCTCTCTGTCTCTGATCCTGCAGGGCGGCGCCAGTGTGCTTCTGCTGCTCCCCCTCCCCCCTCCCCCCACCGACCCCAGAGGGCCTCTGACATGTCAGACAACGGGGAGATGGAGGACAAGCCCCCCGCTCCCCCTGTCAGGATGAGCAGCACCATCTTTAGCAGCGGCGGCAAGGACCCCCTGTCGGCCAATCACAGCTCCAAGCCCCTGCCATCCGTGCCTGAGGAGAGGAAGCGGAACAAGATCATCTCCATATTTGGGGTGGAGAAAGGTCTGCTTACTACAAGCCGTATTAATGACTGTGTCTTAGATTTGGCTTATAATGTCCATCCGTGTTGGTATGCCCATCACGTGTGATGGATTCTGGGTAGGCGTCTGTGTTGCTGGTAGGGGGTGCCAGTTTTATGGCGAAGTCATGTTGAACCATGGGATGTCCCTTATGCAGGCAGCAAGAAGAAGGAGCGACCCGAGATCTCACCGCCCTCGGACTTCGAGCACACCATCCATGTTGGCTTCGACGCTGTAACGGGGGAGTTTACCGTGAGAGGCTTCCTTTGCTCTCCTTTAGCCCCTGACTCCGCCCCCTCTTCCATGGCACTGCCCACTGCCTTCCTCTAGCTCCTGACTCCGCCCTCTTGTTGTCTTCTCCAGGGCATGCCTGAGCAGTGGGCGCGGCTCCTCCAGACGTCCAACATCACCAAGTCCGAGCAGAAGAAGAACCCACAGGCTGTACTGGACGTGCTCAAGTTCTACGACTCCACCGGCAACAACAAGCAGAAATACCTCAGCTTCTCCTCAGGTGGGTGCTGTCCCTCCTCCCATCTGCATGTGTCCTGACCTCTGCCAACCCCCCAGCTAACTTGTTCCCTTTTACTTTGTTGCTTTTCTAGAAAAAGACGGGTTTCCATCAGGTGCTCAGCCGGTGAGTATCCAGCTCCCCGCCCCACTCCCCCCAGGATCAAATCCAGTTAATCAGTCACTGGTCACATGACCCGTCATATCTGCAAAGTCGACCAATCGCAACTTTTTAACCAGTAGTGGCTGCAGGGTAGATCATCAGTGTGCATCACATGTTCTGGCCTCACCTCCGGCTGTTGGGTGGTTACGGTCACAAAGCTCACGGAGCACAGAACTGCAGCCCTGCAGGATGGTAATGTGCTTAAAATGCCCCCCCCCCAGCCTGCCAAGAAGGGCACAGAGCCGTCTGTGGCCCAATCGCAGGACCTCGACGACGACGATGAAGAGGCCCCTCCCCCCGTGGTTGCACCGCGGCCGGAGCATACCAAATCAGTGAGTCACTGCCACCGCCCCTCCACTGTCCCTCCTATAGCACAGTCTTCCGCATGAGCTCACCTGGGTCATGGTGCCCCCTACAGGTGTACACACGCTCCGTCATCGATCCCATCCCCCTCCCAACGACGAGCCCAGAGGGTGACGCTGCCAGCAGGGCCGCAGACAAGCAGAAGAAGAAGGGAAAGATGACGGATGAGGAGATCATGGACAAACTGCGTACGTCATCCCGGTCCTCCTCCTGCACAACAGTTACCGTTATCCATGCTCATACTCTCATGGGCTCCCCCTGGTGTCAGGGTCCCTGAATGCCTTCCTTTTCCTCATCCCGTAGTGGTGCTCCCTGAACATTACCAAGGTGTCTTCCCCCCTTCAGTGTGCTTAGAGGCAGATCACACACATTACGCATTACATGCTTCATGATGTTAAAACCGTACGCATTACACATCACGCAGCTTAATTGCGGGAGGACGCACATGCCTGCCCCCGTCCTTTTCACAGATCATCACACCCCACTTCTCCCCTAGGAACCATTGTCAGTATCGGAGACCCCAAGAAGAAGTACACGCGATACGAGAAGATCGGCCAGGGGTGAGTCACCAATCACGTGTCTGCATGAGACACTGCGGTTTGCCTGGTGTGCCGACAGCCGCCGCTGTGACTCACTATGGTCATGTGACCGAGCTCTTGGTTAGTGAGCATATGTGTGATGGCTTGTTGGGTGATGTCGTTAGTTGGTTGAAAGCATGCGCCATAAAACCATCTCATCCTGCAGGGCTTCCGGCACAGTGTTCACAGCTATCGACGTTGCCACGGGACAGGAGGTGAGGTATTAAGCCGTGTGGCAGTGTATGAGGCGTGGGGTGAGGTGAACATCTAGGAAGTTCCTAACGGGCTGGGTGACAGTCCTGTGCAAGCAGGGGAAATTGTAGGAGTTTTGTGGGGGGTGCTTATGAGGAGCAATAATTCATAGAGGGCATCTTATCCTTAGCCATTGATATGCTTTGAATCAGTGAGAGACAAGGGAGGGGACACTCCAGGAGCCAATCAGCTTTCAGCTGGGGTCAGCATCCTGCCCCCTGCAAACAATGGGTGCATTCGACTTTTTGCAGCCACTTACAGCGCTGGCTTAAAGCAATGCATTCTGGTCCTGACGCAATGTATCATGGTTAGATTTTTTTTATTCCGACTTCAGCCGGCGCTGCAAAACGTCACCACACGTCACCATGTCACATGACACGAAAACCTTGCAAGAGCAAGATGACTTAAGACAGCTTGTGCAGCACCTCTGAGCCAGCTGCACAAACTGGAACCGCCTCCCTGACGACACAACTTTGCCCTTATTGGCTGAAGAGTTTAGTCACATGCATGACGTTTTTATCCCAGGCAGTTCCGATGCGTTATCTGCTATTTCTGTCGAAAAGTACATAAAGCAGTGAGAACTGGTTTTCAGTTAATTTACCTGGTAAAATAAAATCATGCAGGATAGGTTGATTGGTGAGTCTAAATTGGCCCTGTAGTTGTGTGAGTGTGTGCGCCCTGCGGTGTGTAGGCGACTGCCCCGGTTCCCGCCTGCACCCATTGTTCCTGGGATTGGCTCTGGTCCCCCTCGCAACCACAGTTGGGATTAAGCGATTTCAGAAAATGGATGGATAGAATAAAGTTTAAATAAATGCTCTAATAGTACACGTAAGTTAGTTGTTTGTTTATTGCAGGGGTGTCGAACTCCAGTCCTGGGGGGCCGGAGCCCTGTGTAGCTTAGTTCTCTCCCTGTTCCGCAACAAATGATTCAGCTCAAAAGCTGTGTGGTAATTGGCACATGGAGTTGAATCAGGTGTGTTAAATGAGGGGAAACCCAAAAATGTGCAGGGCCCTGGCTCTCCAGGACTGGAGTTTGACACCTGTGATTTATTGTTAGTTAGTGTAATGTTGCGCTGCTTTATTTGTTTAATTGTCTAGTCTGTGAAGAAGGCATTCAAGTAAGAACTGCATTGTACTCTGTACATGACAGTAAAAACTTTGATTCCTTGAAATACATGTATTTGATCTTTTTCCTGGCAGCTATCTTTTTACACATGGCCTCTATACACAATAGTTTATTTTTTTCACTGCTAACAGTTTGGATCCGGAGTTGCTTATTGTAAAAAAAAAAAAAAAAAAAAGTAATGGTAATGCAGGTGATATTTGTATAGATTATCTGGACCCTTCTGGCAGTGCTGCCATTGCAGTCAGGTCTCGCAGACTACGAGGAGTAGAAGTTGTCCGCTTGGCTGCAGTTAGTTTATACTCCACCCCTGCAGTCGCCGGCAGATCGCGCTCCACGTCACGTCAGCTGCAGACAGACCTAAGCCCAAGTCGAACGCACCCAATATCACGTGAATGGGCAGTGCTCTATGTTAAGCTGATGATTGGCTGATCCTAAAAAGGCATGGGGTGGGTAACCAGGAAGTGTCCCCTTTGTTCCCACCCAGGTGGCTATCAAGCAGATCAACCTGCAGAAGCAGCCCAAGAAGGAGCTGATCATCAATGAGATCCTGGTGATGAAGGAGCTGAAGAACCCTAACATCGTCAACTTCCTGGACAGGTACCATGCTTGGGCCAAACCGGGCCAACCGCTCCAGGAATTGTATCATTTATGTGCCTGCGGTACAATAGGCTGATTTGATATATCGCTATGGTGTCAAACTGACCAATAGGAGCCCTTTTGAACGAGGCTGTTTTGTAACAGCAAGCTGTAACACTGGGTCCATTGAGGGCAGGAATGGAAAATTCCATGTAGAAATGTCTTGCCGCAGTTTCCTGGTGGGAGACGAGCTCTTCGTAGTGATGGAGTACCTCGCCGGTGGCTCCCTGACCGATGTGGTGACAGAGACCTGCATGGACGAGGCACAGATTGCTGCTGTGTGTCGAGAGGTGTGTCAGGCACAAACACTTCAACTAAGGACCTTCTGTGCTGCCATAACCATTTATGAGCATCCAGATAGATTCATTATTCTGGAATGTGAGCTGTGTTAGCCAATGAGATTTCAGTTCTTTTGACGGCGAGTTTCTCAGTCATGAACTTCAGGGATTAACTCATTCATTGGGTAGATGAATGTGTTGGCTGTTTGGTGAGATGACTCCCCACCATCAGGCACAGTGACCCTCATCTCCTTCATGTCCTGTAGTGTCTTCAGGCCCTGGAGTTCCTACATGCCAACCAGGTGATCCATAGGGACATCAAGAGTGACAATGTCCTTTTGGGCATGGACGGCTCCGTCAAGCTCAGTAGGTTCACCTGCCTGGTGCTACAGGTTGAACACAGAATTCTGATCAGCCTCCTGTAATCATCACCATCACCATCATCCCCAGCCATGAAACCCAAATTAAGCCGCCCGCTGCTTCTGCCCCACAGCCGACTTTGGCTTCTGTGCCCAGATCACCCCCGAGCAGAGCAAGCGCAGCACCATGGTGGGCACGCCCTACTGGATGGCCCCCGAGGTCGTGACCCGGAAGGCCTATGGCCCTAAGGTGGACATCTGGTCGCTGGGCATCATGGCCATCGAGATGGTGGAAGGAGAGCCTCCGTATCTCAATGAGAACCCGCTGAGGGTAAGGGCTCTCCCTTAGGGGGTCGTCGAAGTGGGTCACCTGGCAGGGACTTGAAATTGTCCCTGTGTCTCCAGCACATTAGTAAATTGTGTTCTCTCTGGGGCACTGTTGTTGTACCTTTGAAAGCTACTGTCCGAAATCAACGTGGTAGAGAAAGGAAAGGCAAAAAACTTACGAGTAGCGATTTCCCAAGGCAACTTGCATATCGTCTTTTGCTCTACATAGTTTGTCAGTTCAGCATTGAAAGGTACAGCAGCAGTGCCTCAGCCAGGACTTGTGATGTCCTACCCTTGCTGTCACAGCACTTTCATGCCATCCTCTCATTACTCCATCTTCCCTTTAGGCGCTGTACCTGATTGCCACTAACGGCACCCCAGAGCTGCAGAACCCTGAGAAGCTGTCCCCCATCTTCCGGGATTTCCTGAACCGCTGTTTGGAGATGGATGTCGAGAAGAGGGGCGGCGGCAAGGAACTTCTGCAGGTGAGTGCTGCCTGCACCTGCTGCCTGGCCAATCAGAGAACTCGACTTTGACTGCTATGTAAATGTGCCCAGAGTGAGGGTCATGGTGAGGTCAGTGTCATTTCATGTCAGCTGGGAGGTGGAAAGACAGTGTTCCTGTTATCACAGGATTGGTTACTGGTTTTGAGTGACACCTCCTTAAACCTGTCGTCTTGTTTCTTCGGCAGCATCCTTTCCTGAAGCTGGCTAAGCCCTTGTCCAGCCTGACGCCTCTCATCCTGGCCGCCAAGGAGGCAATGAAGAGCAACCGCTAGTCCCCCCCCCAGTTGTCATGACAGTGCTCAATCCCCTTCCCCTCACACATACTCACCCATGCCATCAGCAGTTTTAAACTCCTACCAAAAAATCAGGCCAACACAAAGACTGTATGGCTGCCCTACCCACCACAAGGGGGAGTGTTCTTCTTTCTTAGCCTTTTCAACCTCTCCCCTGTGACTTCACCCATTGTGTCGGAGTTCCTGCTTGTAGTCTCGCCCAAGGCAGAAGTTTGCCAGGGGAAAGTGCGCCCTCTTGAGGAATCCAGATGTATTGTTTTTCATTGGTTCATCTCCAGCTTACCAGAATCACTGCCTAGATTCACGGCTGATTGCGTGAAACGTGCCTGTTTTTCCTGATGTCACTGTTTTTTTTTTTTTTGTATAAATAAATAAAATTTGTTATTGGTGGTGGTCCTGCCTGGTAGATCACTACCCCTCACCCTGGGCTTTGTGCCTTCTCGGCCCAGGTCACTGTGGTAAACAATGCTTGCTGTAAGATGGATTTTTATCTGACTGAGAGCTGGAATGAGCGCTGATGATACACTTCAGTATTTTGGAAACGTATTTATGAGCTACGTAGGAACATATTTCTGGCACGTTGCAGAAGGTTTTATATTTTGTCCAGCCGCCCCCTTGCCCCCCATACTAGGACAGCAGGGTTACTTTGTTTCTTTAGTCGGAAAATTCACAGTTCACGCTTCAAATGTCACATTTGGCTGACTCAGAGGTGAAAAATGAAACTTGTACTGTATCAGATGAGTGTTTTCTAATACGAAGGGATTCGTCAACGTTGAAAATAAAACTGTATGTATATTGTGTATTTTGAAATGATGAAAAACATTAGACCTTAGAAATCAGGGCTTTTTTTTGTCTAGCGTATGTATGTATGAATGTGTGTTTTTAACTAACAATGAAACGGACTACCGCCACGGTAAAGTATTTGCGTTTTTCTCTTCATTGTCATGATGTGAACAGTGGCCATGTCTGTATTTCTCTGTGCATAGTCCTCTTTTTCTAAACTAAAAGCCTTGTTTCTGCAACATTGAAAAAAAAATGCGACCCTGTTAAATAAAAGTGCATTTTTTAAATTTTGAGTTTTTAGTCGATTTTTGAAAATGCAGTTTTTCATGGAAGCCGTTTCAGGGTTATTCCTTTCAGTAAGGTTTTTGCACACTTTAAAGTCATTGCATTTAAATCTTTCAAGAAGAAAATGCATTTAGAAAATGTCAAGTAGTGCAGTGTATCTGACATTTACTGACTGTGGTCACTTTGTGTGTGAGACTCTTTAAGGATCTTATGGGCAAAAAGCATTAGCAAATGTTAAAAATATGTTTCAAACACCAACACATACAGAGGCACACACACACACACACACACACACCATGGACTTAAGCGTTTTCAGTCAGTGGGATGGGATCTAAAACACAATTCCTGGTACAGGTACCACTGACCTTGAGTCAGATCTGGGTGTAAGGTATAATTTCTAACAATGAATGAATGGAGTGCTCAAACTAAATTCTGTTTTACTGCAGGTTTTATGATGAATTACTGCCCAAGTATCCATAAACAAAAGATCCTCTTTCTCCTTTGTGTACATAACCTTCAGCTCAAGGCAATGCTCTATATTTCCCGGGATTTCCCCTGTGATCAATAAAGTTAATTTTAATATAACTGGACAGAAAATGACTATGGCATTGGCTGGGAGCCACACCTGGGCCTTCCTGCCAGGTGTACTGTGTTCAAAATAGCAGCATTTACATTGTCCAATAAATTTGCTAGAAACTACAAAACCTAAATTTACATTTACAATTGCAATTAATTATTAAACCGTGAGTATTTTCAATGCTTTCCACTCACATATCTCATTTGATCATAATGAGTATTTGAACTCTCAGAAATTTAAAATGAAAAATGAAATGCACTGGAAGGCATTTGAACACCATGGATGAAGCCATTTCTCTGTTACACCTATTCATGACTGGCCCCCATGTGTTGAAAAGTCAATAAATGCTATTTCAGAAAGAGACCAGACATTTACTAGACACATAATTCAGGCAATAAGTATGATTAACAGACACCTATAATTTATTGCCTGTTTCATATTTGTTCATATAGCGCAAGACATGTCCTGTGCTTGTTTACACTGCTGCCATACATCCAGAAAGCGCAAATGGAATTACTTGCTTGGTTCCACCCACTTTGCCAAGCTCTATTCCTTTCAATATGCGCATTAACTTTTCAATATGTGCACCACTCCTGTCTGCAGAGACTTATACTTCTGCATAGGTTGGCGCCTTGCATGTTAGCCTCCGCCACCGGTGTATGAATGTGTGTATGGATGGGTGAATGTGAGGCATGTGTTGTAAAGCGCTTTGAGTACTCGTAGGAGTAGAAAAGTGCTATATAAATGCTGTCCATTTACCATTTACCATAGGAGGTGCATCAAAATGGTGGTCACCGCTGTGATTAGTGTCGTACAACATCGTATTGCCGAAACGACGTTGAGTCTGTCAATTTTGTCTTAAGTATATGGCCAGCTTAATGAAACATGCATTACACAGTTACGACAGTTACAAGTTTCATAAACACACAAATGCATAAATTAATTTACACTATTCAAGGATCTGCATAGTGAGGTACAAATCATGCCAGTTACTGGATAATTAGTCCTGCTGACCAACCATGTGCCATCACATTATGTCAGCCAAACATAGGCGGTGGGTGGGATCACTGGTCAAAAAACATATTGCTAAAATATTAATATCTTATTAAATCTATTCCGTCAGCTATATTTGAAGAATGTGGCCACCTTTAGAAAGGAAGCGGGTTTTTTACACCATCTACAAGTGATGGCCAAATTAAGCTTCATGTACCATTTGTGGTATTTTTGACCCCACTAGATGGCACTATTGGTTTAAAGAATAAAGCAGAAATTATTACTTTGAGGCACGCTTTGAGCTTTTTTTCAGAGTGAGCACCATCTACTGGGATAAGAAATATCACAAATGGGTCTTGAAGCTTAATTTAGCCACAATACCATCTACTTTTTATGTGTTTAATGACATTTAAATTTTAGTGTTTGAATACAGGACAAGCCCAGTTTTTTAGATGTAACGTTTTGGGGGAAAAAAGCACCATCTTTTATTCAGTGTGGTACTGCAATTACTAAACCTCTGACAGTGACCTGTGAAGGTTCAGAAAAGTTTCAGATGTAGTATAGAGTGACCAGACATCCCAGTTTGACTGGGACAGTCCCAATTTCAGGCTATGCATCCCAGCATCCTGAGAACTAACTGAAATATATATGTCTCGATTTTAATAATGCAGCCCATCTAAAAAATGTTTTAATGTCAGTCAAACATAGCTCAGCTGACACATAAATCAAGCCACCAATCACACAAAAGAAAAGCAACACCATCGTACTTCGTACAGCTGTCAACCACAGCTGGTCGTTCATACTCCTAGGAGGAGTACACATACTCTTAAGTCGTTTCCATCTCCCAAAAAAGAAAGAAAACTGAGACAAGGATGCGAATCCATACGGTGAATCTCACAAAGAAACTTGTGAATACAAACCGAACCCCTGAGGTTGGAGGGTGGTAACCAGGATAATGATGTTTTACCTGCAACGGCCAGAAGGGAGCGTTAAAACCTCCTGCACTGCTTCAGTCCTTGCTTTTTCCTGACAGCTTCTGGCTGAAAACATGCCCGGTGTTCTGTTTTCCCGCAGCAGCAGCAGATGAGTTGTTTTATCCCGGAGCCTGCAGTCCCAAGCGGGTCTTGCAGGGATAATCGCCACCGCTGCTGTTGATCTGCCGCTTCACAGCCATCTTCAAGTCTGCCAGAGTGATGTGGAGGATTCACTTCAGCAGCACCAGTAGAGCTGTCTCTGGCGTCCTAGTTCTGAAACCAGCATAATCACAGGTAGACTCAGGCTTTACATTGGCAGGAATAAGACGAGGCAGATTCATTCAAAAGGGCTGAATGAACACAACCAAACACCCACACTTCCAACACACTTTGCATGTGTATTGTCAGAGCAGAAGGCCAGCAGGGTGGGCGCACACACACCCCAGCAAACATGCCCATTTGGGGCCCGTCTGGGGCCATTGCAGGCAGCACACTGAAGGCGTCGTTACCAGTGTGAAATGGTGTGCACTAAGTACAGTATGCCCACACTTTGGGCTGTGTGTGGGCTATCCCAGTGGGGTCCTGGTGAGCTGCCCACATTCAGCACAGTATGCCCACACTTTGGGCTGTGTGTGGGCTATCCCAATCGGGCCCTGGTGGGCTGCCCACACTCAGCACAGTATGCCCACACTTTGGGCTGGGTGTGGGCTATCCCAGTGGGGTCCTGGTGGGCTGCCCACACTCAGCACAGTATGCCCACACTTTGGGCTGTGTGTGGACTATCCCAATGGGGTCCTGCTGGGCTGCCCACACTAAACACAGTATGCCCACACTTTTGGCTGGGTGTGGGCTATCCCAATGGGGCCCTGGTGGGCTGCCCACACTCAGCACAGTATGCCCACACTTTGGGCTGGGTGTGGGCTATCCCAGTGGGGTCCTGGTGGGCTGCCCATACTCAGCACAGTATGCCCACACTTTGGGCTGGGTGTGGGCTATCCCAATGGGGCCCCACATGGGTCTCATATTGTGGGGTCCACACATGCCCCACATTTTTGGCCTGCTGCAGTATGTCATTTACAATACATAACATTAAACACTATGCATTATGCTATGATACAACGCAATAACAACACAATAGATACTAACTACAGACAGCTATTTACATAACTTACATGGCTACCAATGGTCTTCCTGCCCCATGGATACCCCCAGCGCACAATATATTAATTTGAATATATTAAAATAATCATTATATTATATTATATTATATTATATTATA